TAAAATTTTAACTAAGCATTTAAAGAGCATGATGATTGTTGTGGAACAGTTTCTGAGTGACTTATGTTATTATGGAAGGTTAAAAAGATGGGGCTACAACTTAAACGATTAGCCTCTATGCTTATTCTGGTTCCATCAATGATTGCGTACGTAAAAATTACGTATAGCTGCACAACCGAATATGCATTACAATTGAATGATCACAATAAAGAGAATTCAAGTTAATATAATATTATGTAACAATTTTGTCGATATTCGAGAAGATATAACCACAGTGAATAATTGCTAAATTAAAGGGCTAAATATTAGTATTAATGCGGGGAAGAAATTATCGAAGATTCCAGCAGTTAATGACTCTTTGATATATTTATTTAGGAATAATGTGATGCCAAGAAGATATTTTTTACATATAAAATTAATTAAGTATGTTAAGTTTACTTTCATTTCTAGTGAAAGTATTTGGTGAAGAGATTCGGAAGTTGATCTTACTCCCTTTTCATATATACGTTTTAGCCATCACTCCAATTGCTCAAAGTCGGACACATGTCTGGTTATGTCGATGAGTTTATTTCATGTCTTTATGTGAGAGAGAAAGAGTGGGTTAAAAGTACGTAGAAGTGACCATGATTAGAAACAAGTAAAAAAAAACAAGTTGAGTCGCCTCCTTATTCAGGCAGTTAAATACCTTGTATAACTTTGAGCCTATTAATTAGGCACAAGAAGCTTTTACTTAACTACTTATCGGTATTCCTTACATCTAATATATTCCCTATTAGATTTATTCCGATAGCTTCTCTAATTTTACGTTTACCAGCAGACAAACCATAAATAGATTAATTATATGTTTGAGACCATTCAATCTAGTGTCGAGTTTTTGCCTTGCGTTTAGCCAGCTCCGATTTTTGAACACAACAGCCTCTGCGGGCGGTGTTGTGCTCAGCCACATTTTACCAACTGGTCGACAAGTCTCTCCAGCATAAAAGCGACAAGATTAACACAGAATTTTGTAGCGACCTGATCTGGATACAATATCAACTTTATCTCTAAAGTCGTCATAACTAAAGAAAGTGTAATAGTTTCCCTGTAAATCGTTTTTATTCCTCAGTTCCTTACTTGTTCACCTATCCTTTTAGAGAGAATGCAATAAGACAAAAATAAAAGATAGAAGGATGTCTTCTTATCTTTCCTTACGTATTCACTATTTAAAAGCTCTTCATTATTAATCAAATGACTTTTTCATTGTATCTAAAAGGATAGGTATACAAGTAAGGAACTAGAGAATAAATAGGGTTTTAGGGAAACTATTACCCTTTCTACAGTTATTCTGACTTCAAGACCGAGATTGATGTGAGGTCGAAACTGCAATCCACCCTAAATGAGAACAATTTAGGAAAAGCAAGGCTATGCGAAATTAAATGGAAACGTCAGCTATACTCATATCATTGTGGAAAAATTCTACTACCAGTCCTTCATACCCTTAAACGAAATTGGGTAAATACATCTCATATTACTGATTTACTGGTAGTCTCGGAACAATACTTAAATGCGAAAAATAAAGTAACGTAGTCGATTTTTATAGCAAATATACGTTTGCTTCATCGACAATCTCACCAAAGAATATTATATGGAAAAATGCCTGGCCTTCTTTGAAATTCACACCTGCCCTGTGAACCAAGGACACGCGTGGCAATGTGATTTAGTGGTTAACGTGTCAAGCTCCCATTATGCATTGTCAGGGTTAGACTCCCGCTGGGGGTGTTTATTAGACCTATGTGTGGTCGAAACTGCAGTCCACCCTGGATGAAAACAGCCTTTGGAAAAGCAAGCCAAAGTGAAATTCAATGGAAACATCAGCTCTACTCATATAATTGTAGGTAAATTCTTCTACCAGTCCTTCATTACCTTAAACGAAATTGGATGAATACATTTCATATTACGGATTAAATGGTAGTTTTGAAATTCTACTCAAACACCAAATTATTATTGAATGTATGAATACCAAGATAGTCTGGTCTTTTGTATGGTCGCAGTCTCCTTTCGTTGTATAGAAGTTGTTTGACCTTGTTTTCGCAACTCAGACATATTGGAATGAAGACTTAGGGGAACGCACCTTGTCCGGAGTCCATTGTATGCACAATCATTTTTAAAGTCGTACCGTATATGTGGTACATTCTCAGACGTTTCGCTGGCATCGTATTCGGCATCGTCAGTAGGTTTTGCCATTCGTAGCACCATTTTACAACTCGTCAAATATATAAGTGAAGCCGATCCTTTGGCCAAACGTGTGCTAAACAGTTTTGGTATCTCCCCTTCTGACCTGGCCTATTCCCATTTCTTATATCCTCCTATCACACCTTCACTATCACAATTTTTTACTTGCTTCATTAAATGTGGTACGGTGTGCCTGTTTTAGCGGCTTTCATGAGAACCCTTTGCACTCTATGTTGGCGTTCTCACTCCCCCTTTGTCCTTGTGCTAGGAATGTTGATCAGAGTCTGCCATATTGTTACGCAGTCTACCTTCCCTAGGTCTTACCACAGTCTTTCTCTTGCCCCTTAAGATCTGTCTGCCCTCTCTCTGGTTCTCATATTTCACTCGACTCCTGCCACCCTAGTTGTGCCACCCGAGGCGTTATTCTCCCTCCCCTCCGCCTTGGTGATTAATTAGAGGTTAAAGACTCTGAGTAAGTCTTATTGTCAGCCCTTTGCCACATGGACCACGTTTCTTATAAAAGACTACTGTTAGCCCACTAGCTCCCTGACGATGCCGGCGAAACGTCTGGGAATGTACCACATCCACGGTCCGGGTTTGAAAATGATTATGCATAAAATGGACTCCGGACAAGGTGCGTTCCCCTAAGTCTTCAACCAATATGACCGATTTGCGTAAACGAGGTCAAACAACCAAATTATTATGTTTATTCAAGGCATGCAACATACTTAGTTCGTAAAAATATATTCACTGTTATTTTAAATGCAATATAAACTTATTATAATACCTTTTATTAATTAAAAATATTCATTGTTAACCTTTTTGTTTTTAATCACCTGTGAAATTGTTTAAGTGTTTCATTCATAAATATCATCTTAACGCGCTCTCCAACTGCTTTTAAGTTGCTCTGATTTTACCCGTTTTGTTAATTGACTATCAAATGAGGGAATATAAGCTAGTCGTACTGGGGAGTGGGGGAGTTGGCAAAAGTGCTCTCACTGTTCAGTTTGTCCAAGGAATATTTATTGAAAAATATGACCCCACGATAGAGGACAGTTACCGTAAGCAAGTAGAAGTCGATGGCCAGCAGTGTATGCTTGAAATATTAGACACAGCTGGAACTGTAAGCAGAATTTCTTATAAGTAACATGTTTTAGGAACAATTTACTGCAATGAGGGATTTGTACATGAAAAATGGTCAAGGTTTTCTACTGGTTTACTCGATTAATTCCCAGTCTTCCTTCAATGACCTCGTTGATTTAAGAGAACAGATATTGAGAGTTAAAGACACAGATGAGCTACCTATGGTACTTGTCGGAAACAAATGTGATCTTGAAGATGAGAGGAGTGTTGGGAAAGAGCAAGGCCAAAACTTAGCTCGACACTGGGGCTGTGCTTACCTCGAAACCAGTGCTAAGGCAAAAATAAATGTCCACGAGGTATTAAACCATGACTTTTCTTGGCTTATTTATTTTATCTTATTTTTATTCAGGGTATAAGTCATAGTTGGTTTTCTTTATGATTAACATTTTAGATATTCTACGACCTTGTTCGTCAAATCAACAAAA